CCCTCCAGTATTATTCTCGCTTGTTTCCAGTAGCAACAGTATTGACAATCTAAACTAATCTAAAATGGGAAAATAAAAGTCTAGTTTAATATCAGATATGGAGAAAATAAGCTTATTGCCATTATTTGGAGCATAAGTGTTCATGAGCTGTTTCAGTTGCAAAACTTTTAATGGAGTCATGGCCTGGGCAGAGTGTAGCAGTAATCTTCGTATCTAATCCTGAGTATTTTGGCATCTGTTGCATAACCAATCACTGCCTGATGGTCAACCCTGCTAACTATATTTTTACCAACCACATTCTAAAGTCAGTGTTTCCCCAAAGCCAAACTTAAGAGAAAAGGGCTTTCCCCGTCATTTCTCTGATTCCTAGAGGAACTGTTGCTCAATTCCCCCGGTGTCTTCATCAGCTGTTTTTCCTCTGAATTCATAGCCTGCCTGCTTTCCCTCTCCTCGCAGCTCTGCAACACAAATAGGGCTAAAACATTAATCAGAATAATCATGACTAATCAATTATTGAAATGATCGTTCACTAAGTTAGTAATCAATTAATTGTTTAATGGAGTATAGAGACTGTAAACATGCCTTAAGCTGATAGAGCGACCCACTTAGAGCAGTCATTATATCAAAATTGTAAATGAATATATAAACATTTTGCATTTAAGATAACAAAACTTTTTTGTTAGTCAATATGCTCCATCCAGAACTCCTTAAATGGAAACTTTGAGTTTCACCTGGTTTAATTTCTAAAAAAAAAAAAAAAAGGAATCTTTGGCGATCCGACTAATTATCGATTAATCAAAAAATAATTGACGGATTAATCGATTTGCAAACTAATACTTAGTTGCTGCCCTAAAAACCGATGTCTCTCAGAAGTCTGTTAAAACTCACCTCTAGGCCTCCCTGAAACGACTCCCTGCGAGTCCCTTCTTCCTATTAACAGAGTCGGCTTTGGATCATTCACTCATCTATCACCTTTATTCATAACCTTTTGGAACTAACTCCCTTTCCTTCAGAGAACTAATCATTGTCCCCAGATTTTTATCCATTCCATTCAACATTCTGGATTAAAATATTTATTGATAAACGTTACAATTATATATTGCTACTATATTATATATTGCTACTATATCTTATTGTTGGATGATGTATAAAGCTGAATTGGTTATAACACAGGGGGACTGCAGTGAGCTGTGCTTGGCCTTCTGTTACAACTTGTTTTATGTCTTGTAATACCTCTAAATAATTTTTCATTATTCCTCTGTCCCAATTTCAAACTCCCTTATGACTAACTTTGGTGGTTTCTGTCTAGACATTATAGATTTATTGATTTCAGTTATGAGAAAAAAATAAATCATACTACCTTGGTCAGCTTTTACATTCTTTCTCACACATTTGAGAGGCTTTCATATAGCCTCTCAAGAAAAACCTTTACTTCCTGTTAAGGATTGAAATAACAATCCTAACCTTATAAAAGCAAAACAATTCAAACACTTTCCTGATAACACCGGATGCAAAGGTATACTTTAAGAAGTCAATTGAAGCTTTTTCAGGACCTATTTGTTTAGCCTTTAAAATATTGTGCTTCTGTGAGGATTCTGACAAATTGCATCCATTTGCCTTTATGCATTTCCTTTACAGGAAGAGATGTCTACCACCAAATTTAAATTAGCTCACTAACACAATGTTTACTATTAAAATTCACTAATAATGTATTTCTCAATATCAAAATGTTCATTATACAAACATTTTTTATACAAATAAAACAGTAAAAGTTGTCTGATGTTTATAAAATTGTGAGTTTTTATCTTTCCTTGTATTGAATTAGAAGAGAGACATATTCAAGGTTTAAGTTTGGTCAAAGTAAAACACCCTTCTTCTTTTTTGCTATAATTGCTTCTGTAAAAGGGATCCTGGAAATTCTTCTGTTCTAAGAAAATAGAAATAGCAAAGCCCCAATATGTATAGATTATTTGGACATTATAGTAATAGTTTTCTAATGCATTAAAAGCTTCTATAAAATGTTTGAGCAAAAAATAAATCAACTTAACTGCTATTTATGTCACAAACACACGATACAGTAAACAACTTAAGTATTTATTAACAGAGGATTTAATTCACAGCAATTTCTTTTCACAACACAGTCTTTAAATGACACTTAACCCTTTGAATAAAACATTGGGCACTTTGATCAGACAATGAACAAACCAGTGGATTTCTTCATGGCAATCTTCTATTAAAAACAGCACATCCACCGCTAGGACATTTGGAACTGCCTTCTATTTTTATTCTTTTTATAATAAAGAAAGCAGTAACACAATGTTGGTTTCTTATATGGAGTCAAACAAGCAAATTTTTTTCATTTTTAAAAGTAGTTTCTTTTCTTTAAATATGTACTGTATGCAGTTTAGTTTTGGGGGCTAAAGAGAACACATTATATTGATTTTTTGGGAAGTGAATAACATTGATTCAAAGAACAGCCAACACTTTAGTCCTGTCAGCTGGCATTGATGCCTCAACAGTTTGCATGTTTGTTCTAAGTCAAAAGTATATTTCTGTTGAGGTTTATTTGAGCATTGTATATACACATACAGACAAGTCAAATCCTTAAACAGTGAAAAAGACAAACTGATGGATACGAAAGAGGGTTAAGGCAAGGATATAAAAATAAAGAAATAGTAAAAACAATTGACATGTTGCTTTTCTTATTTAACTTACAACGCTCAGATCCTAAAAAGCTGTGGTAGTGAGAATTATTCACATAATTAGATTCTTTACAGCACCCTTCCATTTACACTGTATTTACAGCAGTACAGAACTTACATACACAAAAACAAAAAAAATAGACTTAAATGAACAAAATTTGTCTATGAAAGCAAAAATATATTTTTCAATTTGTCAGTATGTAAAACATTTACACAAAGACAAACAGTTAAGTACAACAGTCACTTTATATCAAATCAGTCAACAGAGAAATCGTCTAATTCAAATTTTGTACAAATTTCTGCCTTCAACTCATACACATAGTTCACATTAACTGCATTCCCTTGTGTGTGCGCTTTGTGCACAATTTTGTTTTCTTTTTACAACATATACTGTGTTATAAAATAACAGGAACTGATAAAAACATTGCTGGTGATATCCAAAATGGTGAACTGGAAAACACAGCAGCATCCATGGGTCAGTAGTGAAATGGCAGCCAGGCCGTTTTCTTGTAAGTACAAGGGATAAGCAGAAGCCAAATGGAGTGGGTTCCTATATTTAATTCCAAGTTATATTAATGAATAAATTAATGAACAAATGAATGAATGAATGAATGAATGAATGAATGAATGACGTTGCTCAGAGAAACCGATAAAAAAAGTTAGTCACCTTCACTTATTTTACCTAGTAAAATTACCAACTTCCATGTGTTGTTACATTATCACTACAAATTTCAATATATTGTCTCAAGATTGTATGTGATAGGCCAACAGAAATTGACTTAATGTGAAGTAAAAAAATTATCCAGATATGAATGACAATGGGAATGTTCACATACAATCAGACCCTTTATGTTTGAAACACCTCAAATAAAACCCATTGCAACCCTTTTCCATCAGAGTCCTCCTATTTAGTAAATAAAATTACATTTAAAAAAAGATGCATTTCCAATTGACATATAACTCTTCTTTTGAGTGGTCTGACATTACTATTAGTTGTTTTAAACTTCAGTGAGCAAGACAAGAGTAAACTCCAGTAAGATCAAGTGTGTCGCGGAGTTGCTTAAAGCCGGGAGATGTCAAAAAAACAATATCTCAAGCTTTTGATATCTAACAAACACTGTTAAATAAATGGTCTAAAATGGAAAGCAACTCGGAACCTACTAAGGCTTGCCTTTGCACGTAAATGGAAACCTTCAAGGAAGGAAGAATTTTAGTCACAAATGCAGCTGAGTGACTCTTCTTGACTGTAATAAAATACAATAGAAAAGACTCAAACTTTAGATAATACAATGATAATCTGCAAACAAACTTGATGAGACTAGAGAAAGGCTTCAAAGCATAGAAGTGAAGAAGGAACGCAATAAGGTGTCAGAACTGCAGCAGAGGAAGCACTGAACTGTGCTGCCTTATTAAGCCTTGATGTCTGTAAACAGATTCAACACTTGGTGACCTCTTGGCATAATCAAATCCAGGGCTGCGTGACATGGCTTTAATCACCCCCCTCTCTCCAGCTTTCTTTTTATTTTCTCCTTATATTTGTCCCCCTGCCATTCTTTGTGCCATATGGTGCTGAGGCAGCAGAGCCCTGGGAGACGCAGAGGAGGTCCAGCACATCACTAGCCGATTTGATTTAATCAACAGCTTGGGCTGGTGTTTGTTCCGACTTGAAAGAAGTGGTTGTGATACATCACACTGTCTTGATAATGAGAGTTTTTTGGTCAAATGTTAGCATCTGCTCATCATCGTCATCCAAGAGAGATGACAGTGATCCTGGTGGAAGATATTTGAGGCAGAAATGTGAAGGAATAAGGAAACTATGCCACAGTACGAAGGGTTAAAACTTTGAGGAAGGAGCCCTGTTCTGATTTTGGCTTTTCATTAACATTAAGTGAACAGATCTCAATGTTCACCATCACCTGTTAGGGCACTAATACATTATACCTATTATCAGTAGATAACTGAGTAACACTTTTAAGCTTATTCAAAGGAATATTGACTAAAACACAAAATGCATGGTCAAAATATATAACTTTATAAAAAGAAAAAGCTCTTAAACTACTTTATTTATTCAGTTATTTCCACACTGTAATGTGGAGCTGCCAACCAAAAAAAAAAAAAGGAAATTGCAGGAGGAAAAAATATGTGTGCAATACAAGAAATACATTTACTAAGATGGAAAGATGGAACAAAAAAATCTGAGAATGGAGACTATGGGTGTATGAGGAAGTTTTGACCTCCATATCACAATCTTTTTATGTTTTTAAAAGAAGTTAAGCAATGTCTAAAGTGTTTTTTTTTATTACTTTGCATAAAACAGTAGCAAGAATATTTCCCAATTTGGAAAGCCATCAGCAGGAAATCTTAGTGCTGGACTGATCCTATGTAATATTATTTTGTACTAAAACAACACCTTTTCTCTAAGACAAAAGATTGAAAATTAACGGATTGTTTTTGTTACAACAGTAATATACGTTTTGTGACATCTTTCTTAAGATGACCAAGTGAAAGTGAGCCAATAATCAGGAAATATAGAGGGATGGAGCACTAAAGCATGTGATCAGCTGGTGCCCTTGTTTGGTTGGTTAAGTTTGCACGCATTTTCTTAAGACATTAAAGTAAAAAAAAAGAAAAAAGACAAACAGAAAGACACAAACACTACACACTGACTTAGCGTGACGATGACCTCAGTCTTCTCCTGAGTCACACATACTTGCTCGCTGCTCATCATCAGATTTGTGGCGCAAAGGTGCCACTTCGACACCCAAAGTCTGTCCGGTGTGTGTTTCCTGTGCACACACTGTCATGCACTTGTTCTTGTGCGAGTCTCTCTTATGAATCCAGAGGGAAATTTGTCTGATGGAGGAGGCCGTGTGACAGTCCCGTTGTGAGAGGAGGAGAAAAGGGAAGGGTATCAGTTGTTCTGAAGGCAGTCGAGATCCACAGAGCAACACACCTTCCCGTTCTGAACAACACAGCATGACAAGACAAGACAGTAGAAAGGGCATTAAATAATGCATACTTGCTATTCATTATACATGTTTATTATTAAGTAAAGACAGTGAAGTATTGCTACCTAAGAAGACTAAATTTTTTATATTATGGAGATGGTAACTCCGAATTTAACATCAACAGCCTTGTAGATGGAGAACACATCCCATTGCCTGAACTGCTGGGATTCTATGATGAGCATTAATATCAATTATCCACTTATCCAAGGTTGAGACAAACACAATACCATTGGTCATAAAAGTATTATGTTGTGTTCAAATTTATTCAAAAGACAATGTTGGGGTTTCTTCTGTGATTTCTCTGTGTTAGTATAAACTGAATAGTTTCTTTCATACCAGCACACTAGTTTATAGCTGTCCTTTGCTGACATTTAGTAAACAGCCCATGTTTTCTGGATCATTAAAGATCTTCCTTCTTTGCTGAGATTGAAAGAAATGGATGAAGATCTTTTTCTAATGGAACACTAGGCAGTGGAGAAGTACGTCTGTCTGATGGAAGCAAAGGACTCCATTTTAATGATTGGTAAAAATCTTTGTATTTTGTTTTGTGCTTTAGTTTTACCATTTGCTGTGTAGTTATCATATGTTGGCTTGAATTTGTATCCTAATTTTAGTTATGCGTGTTTGACTTAGTATTTAGTGGGCTAATCTTCTTTGCATTTTTAGTTCATTATCAGGAGAATGTTTGCAGGTAATCCCTAGTTAGGTTTTCTTGGTTGATATCTTAAATCGGGCCCCTTTCTTTACTTTTAAAGTATTTGTATTCCTTGATTTTTTGGAAATATTAAACAGAGGATATTTTTTTTATTCCTTTAAGTTGCATTTCCTATTCAATCAATAGCCTTTATTTAAAGAGACTGATTTCTGCCTTTCAATGCAGTGTTTTAGAGGAAGAAATTATGAAGTTGCAAGAGGGGTTATAAGTAACACCAAACTGGTCTATCTCTTTACTGTAAGTAGATGGCAAAGACGATATCTATATTTATAGACTTAAAGAGTAAGAAATAAGATAACTACTGTAAGAATGAAATGACTGTGTAAAAAAAAGTATTTAGGTATTTTGACTTGTACATGAAACATCCAAGCAAAGTTTTAAAGTTATATAGAAATTATAATTTTAGTTTTTAGTCACACCAAACAAAGACCAAGGACACTTACAGGTGGGCCATTGATTTGCATCTGACTCAGAATGTTCTACTTAAAATGAGCCTCCATGTGCTTGAATACAGCAGCGCTCCAACTACAAGGTGCTTTTGTGAAAGCCCTCAGAACTGACAAAGACTCCTGAGAGGTTGCAAGAATCTTTTCATAAAACCTGAATGCCTTTTCAGTATAGCCCTTAAGAACAGACAAGTATGCCTTGAGAGTACGGATGATAGCCTCCAGATTTTTTCTTGGTAATTTGAAGGTATGCAAATCATTTAGTCTTTGAGTCGACAAAGATGGCTATGCATCCAAGATGTATGTTAAACAAGTTCAGTTAAGATTTTAAGATTTGTTAAGATTTGTTTTTATCTAAATCTAATCTAAAACAGTTATCTGCAACAAAAAACAAGAAGTGACTGGAAAAAAATGAATTATGTCAATGTATTTTCAGACCTAAAAAGCAGAGAGCATCCCTGTGTATTTATGTTTTCTAATGTTTGAACAAAATAAAATTCTTATAGGATTCAAAGCAGACAAATTTTATGGAACTAAAATTATGTAGTGGAGGGAATAGAATTAAGAATAGATCTTGACTATTTTCTGATTTATTAATTAGTTTTTTGTGTTATTTTGGTTCAGCATGTGAAGATTACTTTGCCTTTTCAACTTTAGTTGTAGTGAATGCGGAAATCTGTATGTTATTCTTAATACAAAACTGAGAAAAAATTAAAAGCGCTTGTACAGTATATACAAAACTAGATTTTTTTTTTCTCTAGAGGAAAAAATATTCAATACTTAATAGAAAAACTGTTTCACACTCAGTTTAGTTTATCGTTATATGAAGACATTTTATCTTGCTAAATAGAGCAATATTGGCTCTAGCTTGACATTAGTAGCTTTTTCCCTCTCAAATGGCAATGAGACACATTGACTACTCCGCTCTTTTAACACAGAATAATTTATAACAACACAGTAAGCACAGAAGTAAGCAAGTGGCTAGGGTATAATGGCTTTGCTTTATGTGAACAGGAAAATAACTGAACGTAGTTAAATGGAAATTGTTTGTAATGTAGTCATTATGTGGCAGGGGGCAGATCTGTTTGGCAGCATTACTAAAACAAGTTTAACTTTAAAATGTATCACATTCAGAAGGATTATAAGTTGTAAAAACCTTGTCATCCTTTAAAACGTATTTGTTTTTTGGGTTTGAAAAGGAGCTGCATGGTAATTGCTGATGCATTGACCTACCTTACACTTGCAGACAGTGCAGGGTGACTTGGGCATAAGCCATGTGTCCCCACTGAGGCGAGTGACACCTGCGGGGTCCATGCATGTCTGCCGAATGTCGTAGGACAGGTTGTCAGCCAAGCAGGGGTCTGTGACACAGCGTGGGCAACATTCCCCCTCTGCCACTGCCGTGTACTCGCACAATAATACGGGACAAACTAAAGGCCAGCAATCAACCTCCCCTTCCTGCAGAGATACGGACAAGTTTAAAAGAAAGGAAAAAGATAAAACGACATTCTTCTATCAGAAATGAGCCAATTATCTTAGCCTTCACAGACAGATGAACAGAATATTAGTGAATGATATCAGGATATATATTTCTTATATATTTAAATGAAAGATGCACACATTCAGAACCTTAATATGTTCTGTATATCATATACATGTTGTCTTATATACACACCAAGCAGCGACACTGCTGGCAACCGTACAGCCAAGACGCTCCACTGCGGTACAGCGTTCGTCCGCTCTGGTCCAGACACTGACTGCTCGGCCTGTTGTCACAACTACGACAGCAAAACAGGTCCTCATGTGGGTCTGCACAGTCACAGGGTCTCCTCCTGCAAAAGGTCTGTCCATCCTGTGCAACAAGGGTTATAGTGGTAACATCCATATTAATACAGTTCTGAATGCAACACATGGCAGATAATAACATACAATATGAAACTGAAAATAAATGACCAAAAATAAAGTACTTGGACTCTTTAAACTAATTAATGAGTAAAATCTACATAGAAATAGATTTATATGTAAATTTGTCAAAATGAGCTACTACAAGAAGGTTTTGGGTTCGATTCCCGGCCTGGGGTCTTTCTGCATTGAGTTAGCATGTTCTCCCGCGAGCATGTGTGGGGTCTCTCCAGGTACTCCGGCTTCCTCCCTCAGTCCAAAAACATGACAGGTTAATTGGCTTCTCTAAATTCTCCAAGTGTGAGTGTGTATCAATGGTTGTTTGTCCTGTTTGTCTCCGTTTTGCCCTGTGATGGACTGCCGACCTCTCCAGGGTGTACCACACCTTGCGGTCCCAATTGGGATTAAGCATAACAGAAAAGGGATGAATGGATTTTTCAAAATAATAAACTACATAAAAAATTTTTTACTTTTTTTTTATGTATGTCAAAAGCATCTAAATCATTCTGAACTTCAACTTTCATTTGTCCCTGAGTCGCCGGCTACAACTGTCCGGCTTTACCTGGAAAAAGAACATTTTATGATCCATTTTACTGCGCACAGCAGGCCCTGTCTGGCACCAGGAAGATTTTGTTACATAGATGTAAAACTGTTACATAAAAAGGCCGTTAGAAAATGTACGATGGCCCTAAAAACACTTTGCATGTCATTAAAAGGCCAGGACAGGGTGAGGGTTTTATGGATCCATATTGCCCTGCTATGGTGACTGCTCTGTTACGTGGTGCCATTTCTGATGGCCTTGGTCTTTACAGTTAGAGCCCTGACCATATATGGAAAGCACCTCTTAGTGGAACACTTAGAGAAGTGAGACTTCCTGCATATAAAGCCTGTATAGCTGTGTTGGCGAAAATTGTGCCAACACTTGTCCACAACAACCTTAATAAGTAAGGATAAAAAAAAAAAAAATCCAGAATTATCTATTTGATCATTTTGGTAATTTTCTTTTATTTAGTTATTTTTTTTAGCCTAAGGTCTTTTAAAGATTTTATTTTACAAGTTGTCGTTTTTTTGCATGCTAAACTTAATGAATATATTACATCCTAGGGTCTTAGAGTGTCCTATTTAAAAGTTTTAAAAATCAATTTTAAAATTAAGAAAATATCTAAACCGTTCAACCTATTTTTTTTTTTTATTTCTCCTCTTGATTCTAAAAGTATATTTTATTTGAATTTCTTGGGACAGAGGAAGTAGTCTATAAAATTATAATGAAGTGAATATTGGATATGTAAAATAATATAGTGTGCATATTGTGTAGCTCTCTTTACTCTGTTAAAAGTTTGACATCGGTGTCATCTTGCTGTCTTTGCTCTTTGGAACATATTGAAATTGTATCAACCTGCCTTCATTTTATTCTCATTATACAGGTGCTGGTCATAAAATTAGAATATCATGAAAAAGTAGATTGATTTCAGTAATTCCATTTAAAAAGTGAAACTTGTATATTATATTCATACATTACATACAAACTCATATATTTCAGATGTTTATTTTGTTTAATTTTGATGATTACAAATGACAACAAATGAAAATCTCAAATTCATCATATCAGAAAATTAGAATATTACTGAAGACCAATAAAAACAAAGGATTTATAGAAATGTTGGCCAACTGAAAAGTATGAACATGAAAAGTATGAGCATGTACAGCACTCAGTATTTAGTTGGGCCTCCTTTGGCCTGTATTACTGCAGCAATGCGGCGTGGCATGGAGTCGATCAGTCTGTGGCACTGCTCAGGTGTTATGATAGCCCAGGTTGCTCTAATAGTGGCTTTTAGCTCTTCTGAATTGTTGGGTCTGGTGTATTGCATCTTCTTCTTCACAATACCCCATAGATTTTCTATGGGGTTAAGGTCAGGAGAGTTTGCTGGCCAATTAAGAACAGGGATACCATGGTCCTTCAACCAGGTACTGGTAGCTTTGGCACTGTGTGCAGGTGCCAAGTCCTGTTGGAAAATGAAATCTGCATCTCCAAAAAGTTGGTCAGCTGCAGGAAGCATGAAGTGCTCTAAAACTTCCTGGTATGTGGCTGCGTTGACCCTGGACCTCAGAAAACACAATGGACCAACACCAGCAGATGACATGGCACCCCAAACCATCACTGACTGTGGAAACTTTACACTGGACTTCAAGCAACGTGGATGAAGTGCCTCTCTTCTTTTCCTCCAGACTCTGGGACCTTGATTTCCAAAGGAAATGCAAAATTTACTTTCATCAGAGAACATGACTTTGGACCACTCACCAGCAGTCCAGTCCTGTTTCTCTTTAGCCCAGGCAAGACGCTTCTGACGCTGTCTGTGGTTCAAGAGTGGCTTGACACAAGGAATGCGACAGCAGAAACCCATGTCTTTCATACGTCTGTGTGTGGTGGTTCTTGAAGCACTCACTCCAGCTGCAATCCACTCTTTGTGAATCTCCCCCACATTTTTGAATGGGTTTTGTTTCACAATCCTCTCCAGGGTGCGGTTATCTCTCTTGCTTGTACACTTTTTTCGACCACATCTTTTCCTTCCCTTCGCCTCTCTATTAATGTGCTTGGACACTGAGCTCTGTGAACAGCCAGCCTCTTTAGCGATGACCTTTTGTGTCTTGCCCTCCTTGTGCAAGGTGTCGATGGTCGTCTTTTGGACAACTGTCAAGTCAGCAGTCTTCCCCATGATTGTGTAGCCTATAGAACTAGACTGAAAGACCATTTAAAGGCTTTTGCAGGTGGTTTGAGTTAATTAGCTGATTAGAGTGTGGCACCAGGGGCCATCAATTTTGAACCTTTTCACAATATTCTAATTTTCTGATATGATGAATTTGAGATTTTCATTTGTTGTCATTTGTAATCATCAAAATTAAACAAAATAAACATCTGAAATATATGAGTTTGTATGTAATGTATGAATATAATATACAAGTTTCACTTTTTAAATGGAATTACTGAAATCAATCTACTTTTTCATGATATTCTAATTTTATGACCAGCACCTGTAATTACTTTGCATAGGTTTTTACAGAAGTTTGCCATTTAGATCCATTTGGCCTCCCTGACAATACTCTTCCTTAATAAACTGACATGTCTGCAGTTACACCAGCGACGTTTTTTTTATTTGTCTATTAGCTTTGTACATTAAGGAAATGACACGTTTTTTATTCTTTTTTGCTAAATAGTTCAAGCTGAGGATAAATACTCTAAAGTGTAAATACTCTAAGGTCTAAATCGCAACCTTAGAATTACGGTATAAACTACACCGTGATAGATGATAATATTGAAATAAAAATAAAAATACACAGAGGCTTAGAATTGTGTTAAGACAAAAAGTTATAAAAGTTCAAGTGCTAAATACTTCTACAAGCTAATGTTTAGTAAAGTGATATAAGGAATATGAGCTTTTTTGTTTAACACTTACAATCTATAGCAGAGCTCTATGACAAATTTGTCTTATGTACTTGGTGTCCAAGAACCACCATGCTGAGAGTAGCACAGTAGAATTAAAAGTTTCTTCATAAAGAAGGAAAAAAGAAAAACACACTATAAGATCCAATGGTGCTTAATGTTCAGTCAATTGATATAGATTAACTTTGCTTTTCTTATTTAATATCTAAGTCAACATTTCTTAACTTAAAATTGAATAGTAAACGAGAATATAACAGTTCATTCCAGTTTTAAAGGTGTTGTGGAGGATTTTTCACGAATTTTTTTAAAGACCTGCCCTCTCCACTTAAAAAAAAAATTACATGCACAACCTGGTACCCACTCCTAAGAGGGACGTCTATTAAATGCATACAAGAGCATGCACTAGCTCATTTCTCCTCGTGCACTCTCTGTTTAAAAGTTATTAGCATCATTCATACAAACTTAGTTTCTAAAAGAAGATTTGCAATTTTTCCATTATGTCAGACTCACCACCGGTAAGTGAAAATGGGGACGAGCATGAGGACCGCCTTACATAAACATATTACAAGAATGATTGACAATTAGGAGAAGCACTTATTTAGATGATCCACCTGGAAATAAAAGATCATCCTGTATACCTTTAAGTTAGGCTAAATATCTTAAACAAAGCCAGACTTCAAAATCTGACCAGCAGTCTTTTTTACATTGACAACAATGTGAAAATCCAAAGATTAAAGGGTCAAAAAGCTGCACCTTTTTCATCCAAACAATACATTTCTGAAAAATAAAACTCCACAGAATATTTAGAATGGTGCAGAATGAAGATATAAATTGTACTGGAAAAATACATATATTAATTAGAATTCTATACATTTCAACTAGGAAGAGTTAAACTTGTAGCTACCTCTGTTAAAGAAACCAAATTAACCCTGGTAAAAAAAAAATGTGCTTTATTGTATTTCAAGTATATTCATATTTCCTATAGTTTACTGAAAATGTACTTAGACAAATTGTACTTTTTGTAAATATATAAAAAGTATACTAACATTACGCTTTCATGCTAATACTTTTAACACACTTTAACATAATTACACTATGTTACACTTTATAGAAATATATTATTAAAAAAGTATACTTTAAGTGAAAGTTATGTGTAATTTCTAAAGTGTACTTATTTTAAATTTGTTTTTACATATATTTTTGCTATATTTTAAATTGTATGCTCAAAGTTGTCATTGTAACGTACATTGAAAGCATATTTTAAAAGTACACATTTTAATATCGACACTGTAATATTAAGTTTGAGTGCATTTTAAGTTACATTTGAATCTAATTATGAAGTGAAGTTATATACGCTTGTACTTCAGGTAATTCTTTTGGAAAGTGTTCAATAGTATAACTACAAAAATGCACTTAAACCCTATTATGCAATTTTGTGCTGTGTGTAAAGTACACAGATAGCAATTATTGCAGTTGTTATGTAATGTTTAATAAGTTTTGAAAAAGAAATA